AGAGGGAGAGGAAGAAGCAGGCTCCCCGCTGAGGAAGGAGCCCGATGTGGGGCTTGATCCCAGGACCCTGGGATTATCACCTGAGCCGAAGGCAGGCGCTTAACTGACTGAGCCACCCAGGCGCCCCTAGGAAGGAAACTTCTGTCGTATCTCAGCATATCTAATAAACATGTCTTATCTCAGATTTCTCCAGTAGCTCATAGTCTTCTATGAGCTACTGGAGTCTTCATAGTCAGGAAATGAATGTTTTAGTCATTTTCTTTTTTTTTTTTAGGGTAAGATTACATATTTTCCCTCTATAAATCTAAGGAGAACTTGATTTTACATTTAAATGAGCTTCCAAGTGAAAGTTTGAAGTCCCAGGAATTTGACCTTAAAAAAAAAATTAGGGCCTAGAAAACTCTGAATACTAAATAATCATTAATGACAAATAATGAGTGTAACTCACTTAGTTTCAGTCAAACTCATTCTTCAGCATATGATCTAGAGGAAACACCAAATATATTCCAAGCCTTGTATTTTTCAAATATTAGGTTGATGTGACAGAGAGGGATATAAATTGTATGGTGGGTATCATGTTTATTTTCTTTACTCTTTCACCACCCTTTATTCCTGTCACTCTACCCCTAGGGTCCATGTGTGGATGTGTGCATGCACACATGTGCATAATCATAGCCCATCATATGAATTAAAGCCTTGTTATAGCTGGCAACTATGTGTTCTTTTCTGGCAGTTTAGCCAAATGTAAAGAGTATGAGCTTTCAGTATAAATCCTGTTTCTGTCATAATACCTTTATACCTTTGGCAAGTTATTAAACCCTTGTGAGCTTTGGTTTCCTCATCTGAAAGAGACAATAAGAATAACTACTTCATGACTTAGAGTGAGGATTAGAGACCTGCATTAAGCGCCTAGCACATTCCTTGGTACACGGTATACACTCACTAGGTATTGGCTCCCCATTCTTCCTACAAGACTCACAGCTACCTCAAGGATCAGAGAATGTGGCAAAGGCACGATCCCAAGAGATTGTTCTGATGTTGTTCAGAACTCTGAAATGACAAATGACTCAGGTGCACATCTGAGTTGAGCAAATACAAGGATTATCGTGATTGTTTCTACAAGGATAGCAAGAGGTAATGACTAACAATTCTGGGAAGATCTTATTTGTGTTTGGTGTTGGCAGCAGCTCTAGGCATATATGGTAAAGATGATATGGAGGACCATTTCCTGGGGCATGTAGACAGGTGGTGGCCCACTTCCCCTGTCACATATGAAACTGCTGTTGGTATGCTATCCAGCTCACCCCATATCCCAGAAAGATTAAAAAAAAACCAGAAGTGAGATTTTGGTAGGCCACTCTTGGGTCATTTTTAATCTCTGATCTATATTATTTCCCTTGTTTTTTCTTTTTGTGTAAACCCTGTCCTGTTGCAGACATTGGCAAACTCTTAAAAACTAAAATTCCAGAGAGTAAATATTGTAGACTTTGAAGGCCATGTGGTCTCTGCTAAAAATACTCAACTCTGCATTTATAGTAGAAGAACAGCCAGAGATAATATGTAAACACATGAGCATGGCTATATTTCAATAAAACTTTACTTACAGATGCTGGATTTTGAATAGAAGTCATATAATTTTCATATATCATGAAATATTGCTCTTTTGATTTTTTTCCCCAACCACTAAAAAATGTAAAAACCACTCCTAGCTCCCAGACCATACAAAACATGTAGTGGGGTGAATTTTGCCCACACACCATTGTTTGCCAACCTCTGCCCTATTGGTCTCCTGAATTTTCTGTATTTATTTTCTCACAACCTGTGCACATCATATCCTTGATATGTTGAATATTAAATATATGTCTATGTTTGAGTATTGTTTTCCTTTTCTCTTGCCATCATAACAAATTTAGCAGCTTCAAACAGTGCAAATATATTATCGCCCGGTTCTGTAGCTCAGAAACCTGGGTTGGCGGGGTCTGTTTCCCTAGTCAAGGTTCACAAGGCTGAAATCAAGGTGTTGGCTGGCTGCACTCCTGTTGGCAGGCTTTGCAAAGATTTGGCTTCCAGGCTCACTTTGGTAGACAGAATCTGATTCCTTATGGTTGTAGGAATGAGGCTTCTGAATCCTTGTTTGCTGTTAGCTAAGAGCCAGCCTTAGCTCCAAGAATCCTTTCTCTCTGGTCCTTGCCTATTGATGGCTATATCTCAGAGCCTTCTTAGTGTGTCAGATCTTTCTCACATTTGGAATCTGACTTCCCGTTCTGTAGCATTGAAGCATCGCAGATCTGACTTCCTCCTCCTCTTCCTGATTTTAAGGTCTCTGTGATTACTTTGGGTCCACCTAGATCATCTAGGACAGCCTCTCTATTTTAAGGTCAGCTTATTAGTAACTTTAATTCCATTAGCAAAGTGCAATCAGCAGTACCAAGCATTTGGTGGAATAATGAAGGGACAGGAACTTTGAAGAGACATCTTTTAGAATTCAGAATAGCACGATTACCACCTCTATTTCCAACATAAGTAATGATACATGTCTGTGGAGCACTTGAGATGTATCCAGAAATAATTTAACCCATTCAAGCATTTTGTTTTGGTACATTAGATCTTAGATTTGATATATTCCATAAGTATTTGGATGTAGTTTGTAGCTAATCCAGTAGCCCTTGCTTCTCAACAGATGACCCAGCCACTTGGGAGCAAATCTGAGATATACATGCTATAGGCTTTCCTTTCAGTGAATAATTTGCTCCAAGGGTAACATTTTCACTTTTTTCCCCCACTTGTGGAACTGTGTTTCATATATAATTTAATTTTTTGTCTTTTATATTTAGAAGTAGCATTTCAGAGTAATTGCTGGTGGGGAACATATTGACATATTTTTCTGGGGTGGTTTTTTGAAGTTTAGGATCCAGTTATTAATTTCTAAGTCCACTTAGTTGCTGAATCACATGTATATGATTCTTAGGGCTAGAAATCTCTAGTTGATTCTCAGCTGCTTTTCTTCAGCCACCACATCTGACTTGTCACCAATCTTGCTGTTTCGCAGTGGCCCAAGAATCTATGTTTCTTTTCACCCCTTGCCCCCATCCCTGATATACATCTTCATCATCTCCTATTCTATCTATTGCCATGACTTCCTAATTGGCCTGCCTCTGGTTTCTCCTTTGTCCATATAATGCTCCAGAGATGATATCATCCAGCCTGAGCTTTAGAAAAACTGAGTTCGTTCCAGCTCCTTAACATGACATTCAAAGATTTCCATTTTATGACCCAATCCTACCTTTCAACCTCTTTTCCATTACAGTCCTCTGTAGACAGTGGTAGTTGAACACCACTGTACCAACACTTCTATAAGCCATGTTCAGAGAATGAGAAATAGGCCTGTGCAACTGGGATAAAGGGTTTGTGTAGTCATTGCAAGCAGGGTGTTTAAAAATGGGCATGGTTCTTCAAAGATCCTTCTTTTCCACCTTCAACATTCAGTTGATTATGAAATCCAGGCAAGCCCTTCTAATTTCTATATTTTTAATTTATCTCTACTTCCTATATTTTTAATTTATCTCTTCATTTCCCCAGCATGGGTCTTGTCATCTCTCTTCTGGACTATTGCCATGGCCAAACCTGTCTCTTTGTTCCATTTGCTCTTTACTCGAAGCCGGTCGTCATATTACATCAATGTATCATTCTAAAACAGAGTCTAATTTTGGCCCTTTTGTAATTCAAAACCTTCATTCTTTCCCCATTGTTTCCACTGAAGAGTAGTTGCGCACTAATGCAGTGGTTAAGAACTTGAGCCCTAGACCAGACTGCTTGGGATGGGATCCTGGCTCTATCACTTACCACCTATGTGATATGAGACATGTCATTCTCTTGCTCTAAGTGTCAATTTCCTCATCTATAAAATGAGCATAATAATGTTTACACAGGGTTGTTATGTGGATAAAAATATATGAAGTATGAAGAGCAATTAGCAAGTAACTGTTATATAGTATATATTCAAGTAATAGGTAACCATTATAATCATCATAAAATACTGGAGACATTGAGATAGACTCTATAAATGACTGGCTATTTTTTACTCAACTAGGGATTTTTGAGAGTTAATTATTTGGCTAAATAACTGAATTTCAGTGCTCTCCCCTTTTCCCTTGAGCAGACAGCTAAGGATCGTAACTGGTGAGTGGTTTTTTGAAGAAAAGGCAAAGCGTTTCAAGCAAGTCAATGTTCTGGGCACTGATGTAGTCCGACAGTCCATCTTAAGAAGAAGTCCAGGTAATTAAAGCAATGATTTGGTTTCAAAACTGTCTTACTCTTCATTTTGGTGGGCTCCATAATTTCCCTGTATATGTTGCAAATGAACATAGTTGAATTTCCTGAATCCCTTAGGTCATTTCAAAACTCAGTAGAATGAAATCTAAGTCAGCAATTCATACAAGGAAGAGGAAGTCAGTAGAAAATAAAATCCACAGTGATTTTCCATATATCTGACACACTGAGATTTTCAAAGGAGGCATTTATCTTCATCACAGATAGTTCTTTCCCTGAATGCATTTCCAGTATTTTACTAGACATTTAAGAAAGTAACATAAAACAGATGAATTAAATGATTCACATTGTGAAAGCAATCCTTGATTTTTCAACACGAATGTATTTCAATAAAATTGCTTTTAAATGTTCCTTTTACTAACCCAGTGGTTTTCAACCAAGTGATGATACTGTGTCCCATGCCCTCCTCCCTCAAGCCAGGGGAGCATTTAGAAACGCAACAACCAGATTGCAATGCCTGAACAGCATTTAGTGGGCAGGAGCTGGGGTGCTAAATGGCCTGAATCGCTCAGGACCTTTTCACTCAATACTGTCACCCAAAGCAAGTAACACCCCCCCCTTGAGCCTGCTATTTGGTGCATTCAAACGACAGTTTAACTGGTTAAATATCGAGTGAAACTTGTGTTTAGGAGCCTGTTTCTCATGTAGAGCGTAGTAAAGGCGGGGCAAGCATCTTCTGGCCTGTTCCTAGGGCGCCTCATCTTTCATATCCAGAGACAAATGCCCTTGTTTTTAAGTCCGGAAGGTGGAGATGGGAGGCTTGGGACTGATTCCAGTGTCACTTTTGGGTGTGGCCCTAGCAAGGAAGGGCTTTCCCACATGGGTAAGATCAGGTCTGATGCCATAGGGGGACAGAATGGAGTAGAGTTAGAATGAAGCAGTTAGTTCTGGCTGCTTTCCCCACTCAAACCTCAGCACCTTTTGGAATGTAGACTCCCTCAAGTCATGAGGTATAGACACGGTGGCTCACCGTCACAGGGAATCTGGTTTATGCACTCAGAATTTGGGTATTATTAGAATCCCGTCTCTAGGGATTTCGAGTTCTCATGAACCCAGGCTCCTCCGCCCTAAAAATATCTGTAGAGGGATGATGTATCCTTCCTCCATCACCATCATCCCTAAAAAGCTTATCTCAGCAAACCTCCCACCGATGAGTCCTGATCTTCGTCTTCCTTTAACTCCGGAACACTCAGCAGATTAGAAATAACTGTGTGACTAGGAGTCGGGATGGGAATGTCATTGCCAATTATTATAGACTTCTTTGTCCCGTGCTAACGTAGGAAAGTGAATGAAGAATAGAAAATTGCTCTCATTTCTGGCCATTTTGTACGGAACTTTGTCTTCTGATTGTTTTTAATGAGGAACTGAAGAAATACAAAGTCAAGAGCAACCCCGCCGGGACCCAGAAAAGACAGACACTTCACCTTCTGCTGGGCAAAAGGCCGGTCGTGACGGACCCAGAAGAAAAGGGTAAGACACACCTTTTCCAAGGGAATAGTTGATCTTTATTCCGGAAACCTCTGAAATGAAGACTCCATAGTTTTTCAAGTTGGGTGTCACTTCAGTGACCCAGAGAAGGTCAACATAACTGACCAAGGCAACATTCTCCTGTCATTTCCCTCAGGAAATGCAGTTTTACTTACTTTTGGTCTTAAATAATTAAAGGTCCCCTTGGACCTGAACCTGTAAAAGTTTTTATTTCATTTGACATATCTGGTCTCGCACTGAATGGCTCTCATTGCTTCAAGGTAGAAGCTTTCATGTCAGGGCCAGTCTTGTCTATAAAGATGTGACAACTGGCTTGGTTGTAGAATGTCACCACCCTCCCTCAACCGGAGTGCTGATATAGGGAATATCCAAATGAAAGATTTATTAATTGGGCTTAAAACTTAATGTCTCCTGTTTAAAATGTGAGCTTCCTTAAGGAAGAAATCACGCTTGGCTACCTCAGTAACTTAATTAAGAAAAGACTCGTCTCAAGTACAAAGAATCAGAATGTGAGGCGCAGAGGGAAGCAAGATTCAGGGAAGCACTAGGAACCTGGGGGCATTGGGGCTTCCTCAAGGGAGGAAAGAGGCCCCCAGAGTGCAGGCGGAAAGGGCCAAAAGGCCAACTTCTGCTTCCCAGCTCTGCATTTTTCAGCTCTTGATTTCTCAGGCAACTGTTGGTCTGTTCTGTGGCTTAGGTAGTGAGGATTCTAATATCCACCAAGTCACTGCATGATTCTTTCTAGGTAGCATTGCTTTGTTCTCTCAGCAGGAAGCAGTGTGAGAGTGCTAGTACTTGAGCCTTTCTCTGGCTCTAGAGAAAGTCTGATTTGGTTTGGTTTTTGTTTTTGTTCTTAGAATCGTGAACTGTGAGTGGGAGTGAAGCCTAAATATTCTGTAACTCAGACACTCATGACTGTGTCTTCATTAATTAGCAGAGATGAATGTGAGAGAGAGCCTGGAGTGACTGACCATGCATCCCACGTGTCGGTCCTTCCTCCCAGGTTGAATCCATTTGTCGCCCTTCAGAGCTCCCACAAGGCCTTGTGCCTGTGTATCACTCATTACTTTGTAGTCTGACGCCACACCCCCGCTCCCCAGCCCCAGCACACACTTAACTATGAGCTCCCTTAGTGCTGGACTTGTGGCTTTGTTTTTTCTTTCTTTCTTTTCGTGCTACAGCCTCCGACATGGTGCCTGGCTCATCGAAAATAATCAGTGGCTTGATTGAGCAAGCCACTCAGAACCCACAAGTGCTTGTAGGAGCTGTAATTTGCAGACCCTAGCCCAGGCTTCACTGCGTAGGTCACAGAATGATGACCTTGGAGCCAGGAGACAAGAAGTAACCCACCAGCACAATGAATTGTATGCACTCTGAATTAAAAACAGTCACAGCACTGGACTGCAGCCTGCGGGAACTCAAAACTGAGATCTGATGGATCTGTCTTCAACGACTATAACAGCTAGTTGGGTAGAAAAGGTTCACGCCTGGAAAGTTAATATGTATAGAAGAAGTTCGGGAAAGTGTAAGATGACAATATGAGCTACCCGAAAGCCTTTCTAAATGAAGATGAGGTGCTAATTCACTGTAAGAGAGATCATACGGCAATAAATAAGTAAATCTTACATAAGGGGCTCAGATAATCAGTATTGGAAGTCACAGAGGCCATTGGGAAAGACATCAAATTGTAAGTGTGACTAGATGGGGACCTTGAAAGATGGGCGGGGGTCCAGGATAGCAAAAGGTGGGAAAGAGTGATTCCACACGGAAGAAACAGCTTAAGTAGAAAAATGGGTGTGGGGTCATGTGCAAGGAGGTTCTGAGAGCAGCACAGATTGAAATTATATTAAGTGCTGTTCTCACCAAAGAATGTAATTTTCCAGTTAGATTGAAGCTTCTGACACTTTGACAAGACACTCTTGATATATCTTTGAAACAGAGACGTCTTGGCAGCTTCTATTAAGATTGTCCCTGTACCTTTGGAATACATTTTTCCCCCTAGAAAACTAGAATATAAGGTAAATGAACTGCCTTCTCCCAATGCTGTCACAACAAGAATATAGCTTTGGTTCTTTACTAAAGCATATTTGAAAACCCCCATGTTTTGGGCACTCAGTAGCCTGGATCGTGACTCAGATCTCAGTTCCTGAAAAGCTATTTTTGTTCAAGTTCTAAATAATTTAGTAAAATGGCAACAGAGTCGGATTTCATCCTACATGAGACACTCCATTGTTCAAACTTCACTCCCACGGGGAGAAATGTCATGAAAGATAGAAAGATGGTTTCCACCACCTGGGTTTAGTCATTCATTCCGCAAGAATTGATTGGGTTCTCCTGTGTGCCAGGCATCATTCTCGGCTCAGGGGAGCTGGTAGGAAACCAGCAGGGCAGAGTTGTTGTTCTCATGGAGCTGTAGTCTAATCAGTGGCCACCTCAGTTTGTCCCAGAGGATCATTTTAGCTCCCCTCTCTAAGCAAGGGGAGTTCAGTCTCCCTATTCTTAGCATCCCTGAATACAGGCTCAACCCAGGCGATGTTTCTCCATTCTCAGGTGACAGTGGGGAGTTCCAAAGCTGATGGTCCTTTCCCTAGCGGGGATAGAGGCCTGGTCTACCAGCAAGTGGTATGGCCTTGGGAGAATATGATAATGGCCTCTACCCTCAGCCTTGACAGCATACTGCAGAGGCACTGGGAACTCCCCAGAACCTCTCAGCCCCAAGGCCGCTTTATTGAAGAATTATTTACTGTTGAGAATATTAGAAACGGTATTCCTTTTTTTTTTTTTTTAAGAATTCTTGAAAGGATATTTTAAAATGTCTTTTCTCTTATTTTACCTTTTAAGTATAGACCTATTTATATAATTTCAGATTTCTTCTGAGCAAGTTCAGATCAGCAACCAGAGGAGAAATCATAACTCCAAAAACGGAAAGTGGGCGGAGCTACAGCTTGGACTTAGACAGCCAAAACTTTCGGAGTTTAAAGTCAGTCCCTGGTTCGGACAGGTAAGGCACATACAGATTGGATAATGGTAGAGCCTGAGAAGAAGGTTGATGTATTTCCATTCAAACAGTGCTTCTAGGTACCTGTAAAATATTGATGGGTATTAAAGAGGGCACGCATTGAATGGAGCACTGGGTGTTATATGCAAACAATGAATCATGGAACACTACATCAAAAACTAATGATGTGATGTATGGTGATTAACATAACATAATAAAATAAAAATTAAAAAAATATTACCTCTTGGAGAACTCCCAACATAATATGAAAAGACAGGAGGGTATTTTTTTAATTGAAATGGAAAGCACTTACCCTTCTGGAATTACAGCTATCAGAATCATCTGTGTAACCTGTAGGGATGAGACTTGATGTTTTGGGACTTAGGGCTGCGGTGTGAATGGAGGTGTACAGGGAAAATAAATTCTTCTCATTGATTTCTTGATCTTCTTTCTGCTTAAGGTCTGAAAAAGCTCGGAGTGTGTATCTCCTTGCAGCTTTTAAAAAAATTATTAGTAATTTCATCACTTGAATTGCCCCAGAGAATTTCCATAAATTCCACTTCTTTCTAGTTCCACCTCGTCTAACTCGTCCACAATGGGGCCAAGTGAGAATTGCCTATGCACAGAGTTATCACCTTGTCAAGAAAAGCAAAAAGAAAGGGTAGCCAAGAGCATAGTCATTTCATATCAGGCTGGATTTTCTTTATCCTGTTGGGGCATAAGTCAAGGCTTATTTTTGCGATGAATGTATTATCAAAGGCCATGAGGAGAAAAAAGATCTACCCTCATGTTTCACTGGTTTGTCCAAATGTTGACTCCCTTTTGTTTTCTTGGAGCTGCAGTAATTCTGCAAAGCCAAGGAGTGAAGCCTCCTCAGGTTATGCAAGCAGAATTGAATTCTCCTCTGTAATTTATTTTAGAATATGAACACCAAATCCCCCTAGAGAAGACTCTTTTTTGACTATTCATTTTTTTCCCCATGGTGACTCTCCATACCTGCTGCTTTTTTCTCTATAGCGTTGCTGCAAAGTATTGCACTGTATGTAAAACCACACAGAAAAAAAAAAAAGGAAGTAGAAAATAAATCATTTATCACCCACTATCGAAAGATCGTCACTATATTCAGTATTTTTTCAAATTTTCAAGAATATAGGTATACTTCCTTTATGATAAAAAAAAAAAAATTCAAACCCTGGTTGCTTTTGTCCTTGAAATAGTTTCCTTTGACTGACCTTGGGGTAGCCACATACCAAGTTCCACAGAATCTTTCTATAAAAGTCTCATTTTTGTTTTTGGTTGTTGTTGAACTCCTGACTCTCAGACAGTGCTCCAAATTATTTAGAGATGATAAGCAACTAGTTTAATGTTGCTATCTTTGCCCAGCCTCTCGGGGACTCCATGGATGAGCCATGTTGGCAAAGACTTCAAGCTAGCTCTTCAGAGGGGCAATATATATAAAAAGAGGAAAGATAGAATTCTTGTAAAAAATTTTTTAAAAATCTCCTGACCCAACCAACAGGTTATTCCATTTTCAATTAATTAGTCTTCAGGTCACTCAACAAGAATAAGGGGCATGCTCTCTAGTATCACAGTGCTTTTGCTGTTCTTCCAGAATCCACCTGCCTGGATTTATTTCTCGTGTGTTATCTACTGCTGGGTGTAAATAATCATTAAGTTATAAAGCCATATGGACCTGTTCCACCAAACACTGGTGTATTGACCCAGGATTTTCTTGTTCTTGTTGTAAACTGAAAGGAGGCAAAGTAGCCTTGATCTTTTAAATCGTAAGTACCTGAAATGGTTTCTAGATCAGAATATAGTAGTCAGAGATGCTTTGGCTTAAGCATGCCAAGAACAATGTTTTCCCATTAAGAAAGAGGAGGAAAAAAAGCTGTTTGGGAGATCAGTAGAGCAAAATGTTCTTTTCCTAGAACGTGCATTTATCAAAGTGATGACTCATTAATGGACTGCCACAGTGAGATGAGTTACAGCATCCCAAAATTATTCCTTAGAAAGTTGGGCAGGAAGTAGCCCATCTTTTCTCAACTCTCATCACCAAAAGACATTAGCTCCTTTTTGTTTGCTTGAAGCTGTAGTAATTCCGCAAAGCCAGTAAAACTGGCAGGCTTTCTTTTCTCCTTAGGTTTTGCAAGCAAAACTGCATTCTCTCCCGTAACTCCTTTTCGAATATGGAACACCAATTTCCCTAAAGAGATTCTAAAACCCAGTCTCTTTTGTCTAGTACCTGAACCAGCTTAGCAATGAATTCCCCTTTCTCCTCCACAATGCCTATTTCTTCATGGTTCATTGCTCTTTTTCTGGGGCAGCCGGCCTTGGGCATTCTTGTTTAAAACTCCTGTCATACCAGAGTGGAAATGATGTTTTACCAGATGCCTGGTTGACTTTCTTTTTAGGAGTTGGAAAGCAGGGGGCAAGTATGAATGGGTTAGGCAAGGCCCAGCAGCCTCCCAGAAGAGCATGGCAAATGGCTCTTCCCTTGTTGTTAGGGACTTGACAGATGAGGCAGAGGAGATGTTTTGTTAAAGGAATATGCACATAAGCTATAGTTAATAACAAAATGCCCTCAGGGCAGTGATACCTAATCCCTTTTACATGGTGATGAGTTGTCAGTGTGGTCTGATTTGTGAGATATCTACCTGAAGTCCTGCTCACCCAGAAACAAACCCTCAGACAAGGATTCATTAAGTGACTGGTTTATTACTAAAATGATTCCAGGAGAAACCAGTACAGGAGGAATGGAAGCAGAATAAAGAAGGGAAAGAACCCAAGCAATGCGCTATCTCAGGTGAGGCCTGAATGTGAAAACTCAGCTTGATCCTGCAAGGAATTCTGGATTATAAAGAGTGTCTCTGAGTTTTTCCATTTTGAGGAGCTGGACCATTGCCCTCCTCTACCAATTAGTCATTGACTGTGGATTCCTTTGGATAGGGTTTCCAGATTTAGGGAATAAAGATACAGGATGGATGCCCAGGTAAATCTGAATTTGAAAAGTTGACATCCGGAGAGCCTGGGTGGCTCAGTCGGTTCAGCGTCTGCCTTCAGCTCAGGTCATGATCCCAGGGTCCTGGGATCGAGCCCCCGAGCCCTGCATCAGGCTCCCTGCTCAGCGGGGAGCCTGCTTCTCCCTCTCCTACTGCCTGCCGCTCTGCCTGCTTGTGCGCACTCTCTCTCTCTGTCAAATAAATAAATAAAATCTTTAAAAAATAAGTAAGTAAATAAATAAGTTGACCCCTGTGAAATATTATTTTCATTTATATACTATATAAATATTAGTATATTTTTATACTAAAAAGTATTCATTGTTTATCTGAAATTCAAATTTAATTGGGAGTTCTGTATTTTATTTGACAACTCTAACCATGAGTGTCAGGGGAGACCCACTCCAAAGCATATCTAGGCCCCTGTGCTAAAGGGCAAATCTTTGAAGGCCATAGGTGCAAGTCATTAGCGGGAAAGCACTCCGAAGCTGGACATGGGCATGCAGAGCTGATACGAGTGATCTGACCGGATCTGGGGGGGACATCAACAATGTTCCCTAAAAAAATAAAGGAAAAATGGAACTTTGAAGTTAAAATTCACTCTGTTCAGTAAAAAATGGATGAAGGATGATGCTGTTTCTTAGCAGCATTTCTGTCATCACATTGGAGAATATGGCAAGCATATCAGATTCACAAGAGTGTTTACTTAGACTGTGACCATATCAGTGGGAGTAACATGAGGTCTGGAGTTGCCATACATGTCTTCAGCTAGAAACTTCTATTTATACCTCACATCATCCCTTTTTACTCATCCTTTGCCCACCATACACACCTACCTTGATTTGGGTTCCCCCAGAACAGACCCTGAAATAAGGATTCAAGAACAGGTGATTTATTTAGGATGTGGTCTTGGAAACCCAAGGGGCATGGGGAAGTGATCCAGGGAAGGAAAGGAAGCCAAAAAGAGGGTGTCATTAAGCCAGTTACCTCTGTGGGCAACCAGAGCTCAACCTCAGTGGACAACTGTTGGAAACAGTGTACAACACACCTCAGAATTATCCAGTCATGAGACTGGGAATCCGGGGTATGTATACACCAGCTCCCTGTTAATCACTGGTTGAGGACTAATTCTAGGGCACCAACTCTCTGGCACTTGGGACTTGTTCTGCACACAGGCACTCCATGCTCTGGTGATGCAAAAAAGTCTTCGGGCATAGGGTTGTGGGTGTTCCCAGTAAACAGGATTCTGCGGGTAGAGATGAGGGCTGAGGGGAAACAGGTGGGGGCGCTGCTGTCTGCTGCAGCATCCCTCCCAAACCACTCTCGTCCCTCCTCCAAAGGTGCAGTTTGTTAGACCACCAGTTGCTCCACCCCTGATTTCTGTTTACTTTATAGACATGTGACTTTCCTTTTTATACTGACAGTAATGTTAGGAGTTAGAGAGACTTGGTAGTTCAGCCAGTCTCCTGATGTTATACTTTGGTTGGATCACAGCTGGGTTCTTGACTTGCCTCATTCTTGTGGTCAAATGATTGTAAGCCCAAAGACACCTCCTTGCTATCTTATCTGTTTCTCCAGTCTTTTCCCAAAGATTCACTGCCCTAACGTGTTCTGTTTCAATGAACTAAACTTAACACATTTCTCTCCTCCAGTATAATAATTCTTTTTCACTCAGGTGTATTGTGTGATATGTACTTTCTCAGGGTCACTAAGATACAATAATGGCCTTTCTTCTTCACTGAAGAGTAGAGGTATATGACTTGCTCATCTATGAATTTTATTTATACAGATAAATTCAACATATGGTTCTGTCCACATTATTGACTTAGTACTGTATTCCAAATGGTAATTAAATGTGGAAGTGTTTAGACCATGATACCATTCTACCCCTTCACGAACTTCTCAAACTTTGTCAGGGAAGATTGGGACAACGAAATAATTTCAAGACAATATTGTATCATGTTAAAAAGATGTTCTGTGGCTATGGAAAAACCAGAGAGAGGCGTTTATCCTTTCAGAGGATTCAGGGAAGCTTCGTGGAGATGACCTCTAAGCAGTTTTAAGGGACAAGGAGGACTTGGCCAGGTGAACAAAGAATGAAACAGAGGAACAGAACACAAGGAACAAGCAGGGGGAGGAGCAGAGGGAGAGGGAGAAGGACAAGCAGACTCCCCACTGAGCGTGGAGTCCGATGTGGCGCTCAATCCCAGGACCCTGGGATCATGATCTGAGCCGAAGGCAGACGCTTAACGAGCAGGGGGAGTGGGAGAGGGAGAAGCAGACCTCCTGCTGAGCGCGGAACCCCATGCAGGGCTCGATCCCAGGACCCTGGGATCATGACCTGAGCCGAAGGCAGACGCTTAACGACTGAGCCATGCAGGCGCCCTATTTTTGTTTTTCTGACTGACTTATTTCACTGAGCATTATACCCTCTAGGTCCATCTCTGTTGTCACAAATGACAAGATCTCATTCTTTTTTATGGCTGAATAATATCCCATTGTGTACATACCACATCTTTTTTATCCATTCATCTATCAGTGGTCATTGGGGCTGCTTCCATGTCTTGGCTATTGTAAATAATGCTGCAGTACACATAAGGGTTCATATGTCTTTTTGAATTAGTGTTTTTCTTTGGGTAAATACCCAGTAGTGGAATTACTGAATCATACGGTAGTTCAGCTTTTAATTTTTTGAGGAACCTCCATACTGTTTTCCACGGTGGCTGCTCCTATTTACATTTCACCAGTAGTGCACGAGGGTTCCCTTTTCTCCACATCCTCACCAACTCTTGCTATTTCTTGTCTTTTTGATTTTAGCAGTTCTGACAGATCTGAGGTGAGATCTCATTGTGGTTTTGATTTGCATTTCTCTGAGGATGAGTGATGGTGAGCATCTTTTCATGTGTCTGTTGACCATCTGGATGTCTTCTTTGTGAAGATGTCTATTCAGGTCCTCTGCCCAAAAAGTAGCTCTTTCTTAATTGACCTTTACACTTCTTGAATTTAGACTTGAGGAAGGCTTTATCCTCTTCCTATTTAAGTGGCAAAGATGTATGTATTTCATGTCATGTTTTATATAACATCTAAAAGATTTGGCATCCAAATATTTATGATATTCTGCTTCATTAGGCTAAATCTTTTTTAGTCTAACAAACTGAAACAACCAGCTGAGAGGAAAATATTTTTGAGAGGTTCACAGTAAATATCAGGGACAAATGTGAAATTATATGTCATTTTTGAGATAATGATTCCGGCAACAATTTCCAGTAGCCGACTTATAGTCATAAGAATTTTTTTCTTATTACAGGATAGCCTTTTGAATGTCATCACCACAATTAATCAACTTCTGCCAGAGCTTCTACATAAGTAGGACTTTTGGTTCCAGCAAAGCCGATCCATGATGCGGACTTTTTCAAAACCACCTGGGTCAAGGAGAACCTTTAGGACAGGCACAAGCAGTATATCTACCTGAGTCCCTTTGGATCATAACTTCTTGGCTCATTTCTGAGAGATTCATGTCTATCTTTTCTTTTTTTCAAGGAGATTTTACCTAAAATAGTAGGGAGAGAGATTTTTGTGGTAACATTGTTCTGAGAGTAGAGAACCTACTGTCATAGCACAGCATTACTGGGTAGGTCTCTAAAACCTTTCTATGTAGGACTTCTGAGATGAGCAAAATCACTTGGATGGTTTAACTGTTGACAAGTGTAGAAGTGTAGCCCCTGAGGGAGGAGGGCTCAGGAAATTTACCAAGGAGCTTATAATTTCAAATTATATCAATTTATTTAATCACAAAACTTTACATTCTCTTGTGATCAGAATCAAGACACAATCCTAGACCCCTCCTAAGCAATCTACAGTTAATTCAGAGTGCCATCTCTAGAAGAAGAAGCCAGAGACTGCTACCTAGGGGCGCCTGGGTGGCTCAGTCAGTTAAGTGTCTGCCTTTGGCTCAGTTCATGATCCCGGGGTCCTGGGATCAAGTCCCGCATCGGGCTCCCTGCTCAGCGGGGAGTCTGCTTCTCCCTCTGACCCTCCCCCTTCTCATGCTTTCTCTTTCTCTCTCTGTCAAATAAAGAAATGAAACAAAGAATGTTACCTAGAGATTTTTAGTTCTCTTAATCAGATTCCAAGAAACTAACTCCCAGCTCTCTGATCCTTAGATTATTTTCTGCATGATAGCGCCTTCTATCAATGTAGAACCTGCCTGGTTGTATCAATTTGATATTAGTGAAATGCTGAGTAAGCATTATGAGCAACTGGAATGAGCACAAGCTTTGGGTAAGCAGGCAGGTCTCAGTTTTTATCGTGACTTTACTACATATTAACTGTGTGAGAGCGTGGTAGTGGTGGTGTGTGTTGTGTGTGGACACAGACACATGTGTGAATTTATGGAATAATTGCTGAACCTCTCCAAGACTCAGTTTTCTCATCTTTAAAAGAAGACTATTGGTATTTTTTAACAGGGAATTTGGAGAATGGAGAGTGTCAAACGCCTAGAAAATACTCAGTAAATGTAGCTTCTGTTTGCATAATTATGGAGGGTGGTGGTAGCTAGTCGTATCAGGGCATATTTGATTTGATTTCAGTGGCTTCTCTGGCGCACAGTCTTGAAAACTTATGAGCTGTAGTTGATAGCTGTGTGATCAATGCCAGTTCTTTCTCCTGCCAGATTTGTCTTCCAGTAATGTCATGTGCACAGTCAGACATTCTTTAAAAAAAAAAAAAAAAAAAAACACCCTTTCTCTGTTCTTTTGCATATCTTTTGATTGGCTCGACTGTAAGTTCTAATCACTATTAACTATCATTGTGAGGCTTTAAACAGTCAAATGTTTATTATCATAGATGCACTTATAACTTAGTAAATAAAAGAGGGAAATTCACCAAGCCTTCTATTTTACCACTTAGTGTATTTTGTACTCACCAAGGATAAAGAATAAAATAGAAAAAACACTTCTCTTAAACTCTACTTTATCGACACTTACTTATGAAACTCCATGTAATGAGAAAATTGTGTTCACCTCAAGGACAGGAGCTATTTTTTTTTATTAATCATTATTGAATGGGATTGAATCAGTGTTAGCAAACAAAGTGAGCCAAGCCCATTTACCAAATGTCATTATTTTTATGCCACATTTATTAAATGTGCACCATGAGTCAGGCACTGAAACAACACAGAGAAATACAACATAATTTCCACTCTTTGATTACACATGTACTGAGTGCTTCCTTTGTACCAAGGCAATATGAAGGTAGTGGAGTTATCATGGTAAATATGAACTCTGTCCCCAGGGAGTTTAGGTTGAAAAGAAGCACCAAGGCCCACATATGTGGATCACGTGGGGAGCCAAATAAGACATCCTGTAGTCAAGGACTACACAGTTTGGCAAAGACTGTAAGTCAATAAGAATTGAGCAGAGCAGAGGTTGACAAGGCTTGCAAATGTCAGGAAAGTCCTGATGGCGGAGGCTGGACTTCAGCTGGGCCCTGAAAGGTGGGGAAGATTTGGATAAACAGGGAGTGGCAAATAGAGCATATCAGGGGGAGAGAACGTGAGCAAAAGCCTTAGAGGTAGATGCAGAAGCAGGAGCCACGAGTGTAGTGAGTTGAGAGGACAGCAAGGACCCTGTCCGGGCTGAGAGAATGCTGGTGAAGAGTGGGAAATAAAGGTGGAAAGGTAGGGCCAAGCTCAATTACAAAAACCCTGGAGTCAGACAGATGGGGTTGAACCTAGTGAGTCTTCGAGGAAGAAAGCAACATGGTAGCTGCTCACCTTGTTAAAGTCAGAATATTCTTTCTCTCATTTAGGGGAAGCAGTGGTTCATCAGATCTGAATGACCAGGAAGCTGGCCCCGCAACCCCGAAGAGTAGCCGGAGCAGCGGTGTGACCCCCGTCACTCAGAGGTCACCAGCCCCAAGCACATACAGTGTGACCTCAGTCAGCATTAGAGTAAGTACCCAAATGGGAAAGGACCCCCAGCTTCTGAGGCTTGACCTCACCATGAATCATGGCCTGGTTGGGTTTGAGTTCTCTGTATCTCGAAGCGTGGTGTTTATGCTATTTAGTTGTAGAAATGTCTTTATCAGGACTGAAACTCCTACATCCTTAGCTCCTGGTGGGAAGCCAGAAGTGTGAAGCAAAGGGAAGGAGCAGGTTCAAAGGTGGTGGTTATATGGTTTAAACAAAGCAGAAATCATGTTTAGAAGTCTCCGCTTTTGATCCTCCATGTTATTTGTCAAGATATTCAGAAGTTGACTGTACTAGACATTTTCCAGACTGATTTAAATCGGGAAAAGTAGAGTCTTGAAATTTTTTAATAGTTTTTCGTTCTATAAAACTGCTAAAAATCAGGATCAACACGTAACGAAGACTTAAATTGCATTATACATAAAATATGTATGAATGTGGAAGTTGTCCTTTTGAACGAATGAGCATCTAGATATTTTGGTTAAGCAGGAAACTCCATACATGTAGCTGACATCTATATTTAAGAAATCTTGGTCCTAGTCAGGCAAAGATTGTAGTAAGTGAAAGATGTCGCCATGCAGGAGTCTGTAGCAAGGTGCCCCTTCGGGCAGGGACAGCATCGATATTCAGCAGGTACACATACAGGGAAGGCTGTTCCAATTACTTATGGCTGGCCTCCATCTTCAATGGTTAGTGCCCTTGTTCAACCAGCGTCTAAAATATTTTTAATGCCCCCGGAGAAACAGCCAGCGCTAAGACTCTGAAGTGGGAACATGCCTGGTATGTTCAAGGAAGAACAAGAAGGCCAGTATGGCTGTTGTGAGTGAATAGAGGGAGGAGGACTAGGAAGTGAGCTCAGAGAGGTAACAGGACCAGACTACTATATGCATTTTGACATTTAGTTGGAATAAGGTGAGGACAGTTGGAGGGTTTTGAGCAGGTGTGGCTTTTCTTTTTTGTCATTTTTTTTTGTTTTTCTGTTTTTATTAAGTTTTTTTTTTTAAACTCCAGTATAGTTAACATACAGTGTAATATTAGTTTCAGGTGTACAAGACAGTGATTCAACAATTCTAATCATCACCCAGTGCTCATCATGATAAGTGTACTCCTTAATCCAAAATATATAAAGAACTTATACAACTCAACAGCCAAAAACCAAAAAATCCAATTGAAAAATGGGCAGAGGATGTGGCTTCTCTTTACACGGGACCTGGGGGCTGTGCTGAGAAGCATTTGTAGGGGAAACAGTGGAGAAGCCGGGAGGCCAGTTAGGATGCCATTGTCTTTTTTTTTTTTTTTTAAGATTTTATTTATTTATTTGAGAGAGAGAATGAGAGAGAGAGAGGACATGAGAGGGGGGAGGGTCAGAGGGAGAAGAAGACTCCCTGCTGAGCAGGGAGCCCGATGCGGGACTCGATCCCGGGACTCCAGGATCATGACCTGAGCCGAAGGCAGTCGCTCAACCAACTGAGCCACCCAGGCACCCAGGATGCCATTGTCTTACTGCAGGTGAGAAACTAGGCTTTGGAACAAGGAGATAGAAGGGGAGGTTGTGAATGCTGTGCACTGTTGGTGGGAGTGCGAATTGGTACAACCATTGTGGAAAACATTATGGAGGTTTCTCAAAAAAATTAAGCATAGAACTACCATATGATCCAGTAATTCCACTACTGGGTGTCTACCCAAAGAAAACCAAAACACTAAATTCAAGAAGATATCTGCACCCCTATGTATATTGTATCATTATTTACAATAGCCAAGATATGGAAGCGACCCCAATGTCCACTGATAGATGAATGGATAAAGAAGATGTGGTATGTATACACACACACACACACACACACACACAATGGAATATTGCTTAGCCATAAAAAAGAATGAGATCATAGCACTTGTGACAACACTAGATGGACTTAGAGGGTATTATGCTAAGGGAAGTAAGTCAGACAGAGAAAGACAAATACCATATAACTTCACTTACATGTGGAATATAAAAGTCAAAATAAATGAACAAACTGGGACAAAACCAGAAACAGACTCATGTATATTAGAGAACAGAGGGGTGGTTGCCAGAGGAGAGGGGAATGAGGGGATGGGTGAAATAGATGAAGGGGGTTAAGACGTACAAACTTCCAGTTATAAAATAAATAAGTCATGGAGATGAAAAGTAGAGGATAGGGAATAGAGTCAATAATATTGTAATAACATTGTATGCTGACAGATGGTGACCACACTTATTGTGGTGAGCATTGCATACTGTATACAATTGTTGAATCACTGTGTTATCTACCTGAAACTAATATTCTATGTGAACTTCAATAAAACTAGTCAATATCTAAATACTGAATATAAAAACTAAATACTTATTTAAAATATCAACTCTTCCTATAATGCAACTTCAGAAAAATCATGAACTTAAAAAAAAAAAAGCAGAGGCTATGAGCAGATTCTATATAAATATTTTTAAGGAAAAGCCAAAAGGCATTCAGACAGATTGAATAATAATAGAAGATTTCTTTCAATACTTATAGTCTGAATTGTACTTGCTGATAAGGTAAAAGGCATAATTAAAATTTCATAAATATTTATACCAAACTCAGCAAGTGGTACTGTTCAATAGCCAGAAAAGTGCATGGATAGTTGATGATTACCCTTACTTCTTGGCAACCTAACAAGGAATGATATTCAAAATATTTAGTAACTGATATGGCTGAGGCACTGAGCAATCAGCTGGACTCTGGCCCAAGGCTGGGGCAGTATCCTGGGGGCCCTTCTATGCCATGTGTTAACCTGGATTGTGGATCATGGTCTTCTGTTAAATGGGGGTAGAGGAGGTAGGGGGTGGTTGAGGAAACAGGGCGTTGAGAGTGGGGATAAACATAGGACCAAACAGAGTACTAAGCTTGAGTATTACTCTGGGGATGTGAAGCTAGCCAGATTCTTATATAGAGTTCATGTAAGATTGGAAGTACTTATATCATCTTTCTTGCCAACCATGTAGTAGAACACACACAATTTTGTGAATGAAGAATTATTTTGAACTTTTGTGCTACTTAACAAACCTCTTGGTATAGATTTTGTAGAGCAATTATTGATAGTAAGCTTTAGAGTTATATGGACTCCTGATGAGGATCCCCCCCAAATGTCAACTAGCTCCTAAAGAGAAATACAACACAAATATGGTTATACTGAAGTATATTCATATGGGAGCCTTTTAAAGTAAATTACAGTCATTATAATGTTTTTTTTTTCATTTTTACTTTGTGAGAAGGAACATGGTTTTGAAAATTCCGTGGATTTGGCTGCCATTGAAAGCACGTACAAGGACCTCCCAAAGAGTCATCGCAGAAACGTTTCTGGTACACCTTCCATCGCAGTGTCTGAGATCTCCCTCTCCTCAGGTAGGTATTTACAGCATGATTACTCTTTTTTTTTTTTTTAAATGACTAAATCATTTGAAATTAACTGCCTTGTGTGACATTAAATGAATGTTTCATGTTTTAGAAAATAACCGTTTGTTCTTTGACCCATCATGTACGCCCGTTCCATAAGAACAGCTTAAATGTGGACCCAGGTAATGAATGCCCTGAGCCTCTTGCATTCATGCAAAATCCATTTATTAAGTGTATACACTTGTCAGTCATCACCACCACTTTTCAGAGCTATACCAAACGTCAGTACAGGAGTGTAGGAAATATAATTGGTTCATTTGATGGAAAGATACAGGCGCTTTCCCAGAATTCAAGGAAATGATAGTTCATTTGACATAGTGGTCATAAATGCCCTATATCTAGACAGATTAATTATCCTGTGGTTTAAATAAAAAGTTATTTGCAAGCAGCATTAAGGTATTAATAACAACCCTTTTCGTTTGTATGGTACATTCAAATACGGTATATCATTTCACTTCTTCATCACAACCCTGGGAAGCAGGTATTATTTGTGTTGTAATTTTATTACCTATAAATAAGAAAATTCTTTAGAGAAATTTGCCATAGTTATGAAGCTTATGTCCCCTGCGTCGAATTAAAATCATGACAAAATCCTCAACAAGAGAAAGGTAACTTACCTAATGATATTTGCATAAAGCCTGAGGCTGTATTCTGTATGCTGAGTTGGGGAGTCTTTCTGGTCAGGAAACTCCCAAAGCATTTTCTAAATATATGTAGTTATTGTTGCATTTTGTTCAGGATGACAAGATTGGTTCTCCCGTTAAAAGAAAAATTTTAAACTAATATAGAAGCCCACCTCATAGATCGTTTTGCTACTACTTCTAGTCAACAGCTCCTGTTTATTGAGTACATACTCTGTGTCAGGCACTGTCCTAAGTACTTCTGCATTATTTAATTTACCATTTCAAACTCAAGTATGTGATTGCTCTCTTTAATCTTTCTCATTATAAGCAACTATATCTCAGTAGGACTTTGATATAGAACTGTTCTGTGTAAGTAACCTGTGTCTTAGTAAGTTGTCCACAGCATGACTGAGTTGTGCATTGTTCTTCAAATTATGTTTTTAAAAGCAAGATGTTCCTCTGATGAAAGAATGTTCTGGTGCCCAAAGAAATAGAACTTCTTCTCAGTTTACCTATAGCCGCTCCCTTTTCGTATGAAAGAAAGTTGCTATATCATTTAATAGCATTTTATGTCAGATATGAAAACACAGTGAATTCTCTAAGTATATAAATCAAGAATGATTCACGCTTTATTTTTTTCTATGGGCTCATTATATTTTAAGGCCCCATTCAATGAGAGTTTTTCAGTCTATGAGAAAAACAGGAAACTTAGTTTAAAAATTTGCATTTTACAATAGAACATTTAGCTTCCTTTAATCAAAGATGAAATGAACACATCACTGTTGGTAATGCAATTCAAGAAAATTTCAAAACACTAAGAAAAAAGAGAAGCACGTTAGTATAAACAGCATGAAGTTATTGACTCTGACTGTTGCTTTCATGACACCCTATGCCCTGTGCCTAGAAAGAATGGGAATAAAGATAAAACATTTGCAATGAAAACTGAAATCTTCTAACAAAATAAGCTGATTCATATCTCTCCTCTCTTCATTCCTCCAGACCGGAGTCGATCTGAGTTAGATCTGACTGGGTCCTTTCCAGAAGACTTAGAGAATACTGCAAACATAAGAAGCAAGTCTGTCCCTGGGGCTTTAGACAAAGACTTGGTAAGTTGGATGTGGAAGAAAGTCTAATGATCATGAGGAAAGGGCACAGTCTTGTTCCAAACCTTTCCACGTTTAGATGAGAATAAAGTAAAGATACAGGATAATCCATTCCTATTAGTCTTCACATTCAATATATAAAAACAACTAAAGAATGACTTAGAAAAGCTAACTGGTAATCAGGATAATGAGTGAAGATTTTCACTAAAAAAAAAAATACCTGTTGGGAATTTCAGTTCCTGGCTTAACATCATTTAATCTAAACCTGGAAAGTGAAAGATCCCAACATTTCCTAAACCAAATATTACTAGACTTAGCTGACTGTATAGCTTATATGAACATTTCTATGTCTGAAGTTACCCCTAATAAACTACCTTCTTAACAAACTAAATTATGTGAAAATTAATGTTTATGTGAACTCATTTATGAAATTAGAAGGTTGAGTTAGATTATTTTTAAGGTTCCTCCCAGTTTAATATCTTGATTCTGATTTCTGTAATTGCTATAATGCAATTTGAACTCCTTAGAAGAAAGATATAACACACATGTTAAATGACATTAATGTAATTTTCCTAAGCAAGCCAGGAAACTTAGTTCTAAAACTCAATGTTATTTACTAGAGTAAAGAAACCTGGGAAGTATTTTTTAAATCCACCACAGAAAGCAGGGGTGGGGGAGGGCTATAAGATCGAATGGTTTCAAAGCTTACTTCTGTTCAACCTTTAAAGAACAGCTAATTCCAGTGTTATTAAACTGTTCCTGAGAACTCAATAACTGACATTAAAAATGCACTAGAGGGAATCAACAGCAAATTAGAATATGCAGAAGAACAAATCAACAATCTGGAAGACAGGGTAATGGAAAGCAATCAAGCTGAACAGCAAAAAGAAAAAAGAATAATACAAAATGATAATAAATAGCTTATGGGCACTCAGCACTATCATTAAGCATAATAACATTTACATTATAGGGATCCCAGAAGAAAAAGAGGCAGGAAACTTATTTAAAGAAATAATAGCTGAAAGCTTACCCAATCTGGGCAAGGAAACACACAACCAAATACAAAAGGCACAGAGAGTCTCCAATAAAATCAACCCAAGGAAGTCCACATCAAGACACATAATAATTAAAATGGCAAAAAATAGTGATAAAGGCAGAATTTTAAAAGCAGCGAGAGAAAATACTTAAATACAAGGGAAACACCATGAGTCTATCACCTGAGTTTTTATCAGAAACTTTCCAGGTCAGAAGGAAGTGGCATGATATATTCAAAGTGCTGAAAGGAAAAAAAAAAAAAAAAAACTACAACCAAGAATACCTAGCAGAGTTATTCAGAATTGAAAAAGAGATAGTTTCCTAGATAAGCAAAAGTTAAAGGACTTCAACACTAAAACTATATCAGGAAAAAATAGAAGATTTGAATAGACCATTTAGTGGCAATGAAATTGAATCAGTAATCAAAAAACTCCCAACAAACAAAAGTCCAGGACTAGATGGTTTCACAGGTGAATTCTACCAAATATTTAAAGAAGAGTTCATACCTATTCATCTCAAAATTTCCAAAAAATAGAAGAGGAGGAAAACTTTCAGATTCATTCTGTAAGGCCAGCATTATGCTGATATCAAAACTAGATAAAGACATGATGAAGAAATAAAACTGTAGGCCAATATCTCTGCTGAACATAGATGCAGAAATCCTCAATAAAATATTAGTAAACTGAATCCAACAATACATTTAAAAAATCATCTGCGGGGTGCCTGGGTGGCTCAGTCTTTAAGCGTCTGCTTTCAGCTCAGGTCATGATCCCAGGGTCCTGGGATGGAGCCCCGCATCGGGCTCCCTCCTGGGCAGGAAGCCTGCTTCTCCCTCTCCCGCTCCCCCTGCTTGT